TTGCATTCCCACCAGCAGTGTAGAAGTGTTCCCTTTTCTCCACATCCATGCCAGCAACTCTGGTTTTTGGATTTTGTGATATGGGCTAATCTTGTTGGAGTGAGGTGATATCTCAAAGTAGTTTTGATTTGCATTTCTCTAATGATTAATGATGGTGAGCATTTTTTCATATATCTATAGGCCACACACCTATCTTCTTTGGTGAAGTTTCTCTTCACGTCCTTTGCCCACCTTGTGATGAGATCACTTGGTTTTCTTTGTTAATGCGTTTGAGTTCTCTATGGATTCTGGTTATTAAACCTTTGTAGGAGACATAACCTGCAAATATTTTCTCCCACTCTGAGGGCTGTCTGCATGCTTTAGTTACTGTGCTCTTCGCTGTGCAGAAGCTCTTTAGTTTGATCAGGTCCCAATAGTGTATTTTTGATGTTGCTTCAATTGCCCGTGGGGTCCGTCTCATAAAAAATTCGCCCAGGCCAATTTCTTCAAGTGTTTTCCCTGCACTTTCTTCAAGTATTTTTATGGTTTCATGTCTTAAGTTTAAGTCCTTAGTCCTGTGAGAATCTATCTTATTTAATGGTGAAAGGTGTGGATCCAGTTTCAGTCTTCTACAGGTCGCCAGCCGGTTCGTCCAGCACCATTTGTTAAATAGGGAATCTTTTCCCCACTCGATGTTTTTAATTGGCTTATCAAAGATGAGGTAATGGTAGGTAGCTGGATTCATCTGCTGGTTTTCTATCCTGTTCCATACATCTACCTTTCTGTTTTTGTGCCAATACCATGCTGTTTTAAGCACTATCGATTTATAGTATAGTCTGAGGTCTGGTAGGGTGATTCCTCCTGCTTTGTTTTTGTTCCTGAGTAATGTCTTGGCTATTGTAATCAATGGAGTTAAACTGAAATCATTCCCACTCTTATCAGGAACCAGGCAAGGTTGCCCATTGTCCCCATTGCTATTTAACATTGTAATGGAAGTTCTAGCTACTGCAATTTGGGAAGAAAAGGCAATTAAGGGTATCCATCTAGGAACAGAAGAGATTAAACTTTCACTTTTCGCAGATGATATGATTGTATATCTGGAAAACACCAGGGATTCAACTAAAAAACTCCTAGAAGTGATCAAGGAATACAGTGGCGTATCAGGATCCAAAATCAACACTCATAAATCTGTAGCCTTTATATATACCAACAGCAGCCAAGCTGGAAAAACAATCAAGGACTCTATCCCATTTAAAGTAGTGCCAAAGAAGATGAAATATTTGGGGGTATACTTAACAAAGGATGTGAAAGATCTCTATAAAGAGAACTATGAAACTCTAAGAAAAGAAACAGCCGAAAATGTTAACAAATGGAAAAATATACCATGCTCATGGCTAGGAAGAATCAACATTGTTAAAATGTCCATATTACCCAAATCAATATACAATTTTAATGCAATCCCCATTAAAGCCCCACTGTCATTTTTTTTTTTTAAGAGATAGAGTCTTACTCTGTTACCCTAGGTAGAGTGCTGTGGCCTCATTATATCTCACAGCAACCTTAAAGTCCTGGGCTCAAGTGATTCTCCTGCCTCAGCCTCCCAAGTAGCTGGGACTATAGGCCCCCAGCCACAATACCTTGTTACTTTTTCTATTTTTAGTAGAAATGGGGTCTCAAGTGATCCACCCAACTCAGCCTCCCACAGTGCTAGGATTACAGGCACAATCCTTTAACATCATTTTTAAACAAAAGGAATGTGAATCATGAAAACTTAGAAGTAGGTCTGTTTGAAGTATACATGTAGAAAATGGATTTCAAAGCACATTTGAATTATAAATAACTTAACCTACATGAAAACAAATTATACAAATATCCTAGAAAAAGTCACCTGTGCAGAAAAGAATATGCTAAATACAAATGACTACCCAGCTATCAGGGCAAAGTTTAACAGGCCCGCCATATTACAGACTTTATTACCTGGGGTTGGTATTAGAAGTAGGGTAAAGCAGTAATAAAGCCACAGCTGTAAAGCTTAGCTAGCAGCATTCACAGGGTCCCTAAGCACAACTGCCTATAGTCGGGCAAATAATACAAAGGGGTGAAAGGCCTGCAGGGAGAAGGGGCTGGCGGATACTACAGAGGACTGGAGCCTTGCCCTGCGGAAGGGCAGAACTGCTACTGGCAGTAATGCTAGCCTAGTGTTACCAGACACTCTAATTATTTCCTCGAAGGGCAGAGATACAGATTTCATGTAAAACATATGGGCCTTTTCTCCAATTTGTTCCAAATTAGTCAGGTTTTATTATATATCAGTTTAATCTATGTTAACATTTAATAGCTATCAAGCTAGAAATATTGATTAGGTTTTACAATTATCATGTTTGACACTAAATATAATTATAAGATAAATAGCCTTCTATTCCAGTAATAATAATCTTTTTTTTTTTAATACAGATAGAGTCTCACTTTGTCACCCTCAGTAGAGTGCAGTGGTGTCACAGCTCACAGCAACCTCCAACTCCTGGGCTCAGGTTATTCTCTTGCTTCAGCCTCCCGAGCAGCTGGGACTATAGGCACTCTCCACAAAGCCTGGGTATTTTTGTTGTTGTTGTTGCAGTTTGGCCAGGGCCAGGTTTGAACCCACCATCCTTGGTATATGGGACCGGCGTCCTACCCACTGAGTCACAGGCACCACCCTTCCAGTAATAATACTCTTATAAAACATTAATATCTAAGTGACATCATAATTTCAATCTTAATGCTGCTTAACTTTTTTTTTTTTTTTTTTGAGACAGAATCTCCCTCTGTCATCCTGGGTAGAGTGCGCTGGCCTCATAGCTCACAGCAACTTCAAACTCCTGGGCTCAAGAGATCCTCCTGCCTTAGCCTCATGACTGCCAAAGTTCTTTTAACAAATAAATGATAAATGGACAGTTTTACTTTTCTATTTTAATAGAATAAAAATACAAAAACCAACTTCTAGTTTTTTGCTGCAGTTTGATAGAATATGGGAATCCAACAATCACCTAACCAATGAATGTCCTACCCTCGCAAAATTAATTTTCATAGATGTAAAATATTAATTGCCATTGTTCATTAATTGCGTAACATCTACTTTTAAAAATATGATCTCTAACTAGGTTTCATCAACAGCTCTAGTTAAGTTCACCTTGACCCCATGAGTGACTGTGCCCTGTCCTCCTCGAAGACCAGCCAAGTAAATCTGAGGCCTGGGCACTCGAGAGCTGCCTTCCCTCAGGGACTGGGTGCCAGAGTCCTTTGCAGGGTACACCTGGGAATAATTTTCTCTTCGCATGTGACTAAGATCAGTTTGTACTGAGTGAGTAACTTTCTGACGCAAATTGGCCTAAATAGAAAGAGAATACAGGAATTAATATTTTGTGAGAGGATAAATAATATAAAATATTATCAGGTACTAGTTAATATCTGCCTACTTTTCTCTCTCACTCCGCAAAGAAATTAATCCTATACATTGCATTTTTCTGTAAAACATTAGAACGTTAGAAAATCTACAACATTATCAAAACTCAAATACCTTTTTCTGAGAAACAGAAAAATAGGCTCAGCACCTGTAGCTCTGGCGCCAGCCACATACACCAGACCTGGTGGGTTTGAATCCAGCCCGGGCCTGCCAAATAACAATG